AAAAAAACTTGAAAAGATATTTTAACCGTTCTTGTTTTAAATCCGACAGAACCGTTCTAGTTATAAGCTGAAAAAAATTTAAAATAATAGTGTTATTAGAAAGTCGATGCAACAAATTTAAAAACAAAAGTAACATTTCGACGGCAAAACTGGCTATTTTTTAAAAAAAATTCTCAAAATTCAGTAAATTACGTTAGAAATTCAAAACTAACTTCATTAGAACGGAAATCGTGTGCTCTTTCCGACGGTGTATCTATTTTTGTCGTACAGTTATCCCAAACCATGCTATTGAGAAATTAGTGCGAAAAATTACCCACAACAACACAAAACAATAAATAAAAAATTTATTAGAATAAATTTTAAAATTTCGGCTTCGAGATGCTTTCAGTCTCAATTACGACTACCTATGTGTGACAAATTTCATGGCTGTAAGTGCTATAGATTCGTCTGGACATCGCAGACAAACACACACGCAAGCACTGCCTTTTATAAGTATAGACTAGCTGATATACTCGGTGTTGCTCGGAGCAAATGTATTTTCAAAACTAAGTACTTGTAACATAACACTTAAAACTTAATTGCCGCGTCCTTCGTTCATTTTTTCGCCCCCTCCCTTGTCGTGCAGCTGGTAAACCCCTCTCTTCTTTTGATTTTCGCAGTTTGAACTACCTGGCAAGAGTCTAGCAACGCTGGGGATTCCATTTTTCCCTGTCCATCATTGCTAAAGAAGATCTTCATATCATGGTTTTTACTGCAATGACTCGAAATACCGTTTTTGGTAATTCTATGCCTGACCTGAAAAACAAGTGTTCCTTCTTTCTCTCTTTATGCCTCTTCTCTCCCTTCGGAGGAACAGCAAGCTGTAATCTTGGATTTAAAGATTTGTGAAAATTAAACAAAGCATTAAGTAGTAATTAAACTAATGTCATTGGAAAGAAAATAGTTTGATTTCTCTGATGGTACACAAATAACTTTCGTACAATAATTATTTCAGAAGTTAAACTGAGAAGAAACGCCGAAATTTGGCTTAAATTTTGTTATTTAATTCAATATCTTGAAAAATAGTTAATTTTGAAACATAGAAAAATATCATATATAATCCCAGAATGGTATGTGCAAACTTGTCCTTACTGTTCACCATTTCGGAAGAGTTCTTGCTACAGACAAATAGACAAGTGTAATTTCTGCTTTATATTATAAAATTTTGTTTGTATATATATATCAATTGCTTTTAAATGCTTAAAGATAATATTCAGGACACTTTAGCTAGATATAAGGAAACATCGTGTAGATTTCTCGTTTTGTTAACTTGAGTTGTCTTCGTCTATAATTGTCATCAATCTTTGCCCTGATCACAATTCTTGCGCCAGCAAAGTTGATGATTTCGCGAAGTCTAATCATAGCATCAATAAATACCATATTAATATGTTTTATGCTCGCTGGTTTTCTTTCAGAAAGGTATTCCAAGGCATGTATTATATTCTGCCGTAGAGCTCCATGGATGCTGCAACATCTCCATGCAGTGCTCCAAAGAAAAGGCTCTCTCAATTACTCCCGCAACTCCAGGCGATCCACCCAAATGACCATTCCCTAAAAGCAGACAAGCGATTCTGGCGTGGAAGGGGGTCTGCCGAACACAAAACGGCCCTCTCCGCTATTTGCGTGCGAACCCCTTCAGGAACGCTGGGAGGTCTTCAGCTCATTCCCCGTTTCCGCTGAAAGGAACGCTCACATCTCATCAATTCCAGCCTTCCTCCGTCCTTTAACAGATTGCATGCCAGGTAGGCAGCAGGCTCATAGAGAGAGAATCTCGTCCACCACCCCCTGCACCATCCCTTTTCTTCTGTGTGTGCGGCTGCTTCGGAAATTGCGGCCCGTTGTCCATTACAGCGTCCATGTCTGAGTTCTTGAAGCGAGAAATTGCCTTGTAGCTTTTAGTGGGCACCCTTGGGTGCCGCCCACACCCCCTTCCCTCCCTCCTCCCCGGGGGCAGTAAGGGAGATTCGATGTAAGAGAAAAGGGGAGCGTGTGCAAACTAATTTGGAGAGGATTGGATGCCCCCTATTTTATTATTACTTTTTTTCTTCCCCTTTTTGTCGTTTTAATCCTTTGGTAACTGACTGGACGAATCGCCTCGAATCAGTTCCATTACGGTGGGCCGGTTATCTTTGAGTGGGGTAATTGCAAGAGAGGGTTCTGTTGTAAAGAAGGCTAGTGAGACCACAATACCTTCAGAACGGAGTAGTCTTTGTTAAGTAAAATTAATCAATTTTATTTACGGGTGGGTTTATAATTTAACGACTTATAATTAATTACTTTTGTGGTTTCTTATATTTCATCTCACGTTGAGTTCAAAGATTTTTGCAGGTGATTAAGGGAAAAAATTTTAATCTGCAAGAAGACTTTTGTAGACAATAAATTACACAGGGTAATCAACTTTTCATTTACTAAAGTTATGAAAATAAATTTTGACCACATCATAAAAAAGCGGGTGTTAATGTAAGTGGACGCACGACAAAAGCGAAGCTTCTTACGCTTTTCTATATAACTAAATGTAAATAATGGTAGAATTACACTATTTGTTTCTCTTTCTTTCACTTCCCTCCCCATTTTATTTCTATTTATAGGAAGAAAACAGTGATAGCTGTGAAGCGGCTGTGGTATAACGGTTAGCATAGCTGCTTTCCACGCAGTTTGCCCCGGTTCGACTCCCGGCCGCCGCAGTTCGAAATTCCCCCTTCTTTGCAAAAACAGATTGCCCCTTCCGTTTTATTTGCAAAAACAGATTGTGTGCGCGCATTCAAAATCAACACACAGCACAGTATCACACAATTATACACACAGCCTACGAGAGTACAGACATACGGGGCCGCATCGAGGCGCAAGCGCTGTTATGACGTCCTTCCGTCTCGTGACGGTTGCTTTTTCTGTGCTGACTCCCCGTCCCGAAACCTGCGTTAAGAAGCTTCTCTTCAAAAAAAATCATTCCTTTATTCGAAAGTTACCATTAAGGAAAAAGTAGTGAATAATTCTTTAAGCATCATATTTTGCTAATCTCCTCTTATCCGTACATTTTTATATGCAAAACTCCAAATCACGTATAAAATATTGCTATGGATTTTATTGACTTCCTGCATGAGACACACGGCTTTGCCTATCCGTGACCTAATGGGTTGAGGCATGGCATGCTGGAGGAATATGAATCGGAGGAAGAAGGTTAGGGTTTCTTTTCTCTGTATGTATGTGTGTGCTTTTAATCAGCTTTATTGAAAAACTAATGGAGTGTTGTGAGCTTCAGCAACGAATTGCTCATTGGGGTCGAGCTGCCTGCTGAAGACTTTCCTCCAAGAGAAACACAAATTCGGTCCAATTTCTCCTGAAAAATCTTCTAAGAGGTCAACCTACTTCAATAGGATATAAGAGCTAAGTCATATTTCTATCTTAGGTTCTCGAAGGTCGCTTTGACCGACAGAAAATACCACATTTCCAGTTTTTGGTTCATTTGCTTGTCTAAATATACTAAATTAAATGGATATAGGATAACGACCATCACACTTGTCTGAGAGCTAAAGCCACGTTCGTCACTTGTATCAACACAAAGAACTATTTTGAATGCTGTGTTTAACTGAATCAACGATCAGATACGCATTTTGAATAATGTGTAATAATTTTTATGTCATAAATATCCGCTGAATATTTATAAGAATCAACAATATGCTTTTGAAGAAAAGATAAATAAGTAAAGGTAAAACTGGTGCAGATAATTGTTTCTTGTCTCTTCAATCTTCAATTCAGAAAAACTTAAGTTATTCTTTATTTATACTTTACTTTATTTCTTTGAGTATTCATTTTTTTCTCTTAGTGGCCACTTCCTCGTATAGGTTTCTTTAATACACTTTTCTAAGCGTTCACCCTCTCAACGGCCAATTTTGCTTGGCATTTTGGCACTGGAAAATTTGGCCGATAGATATAAAGCTAAAATAACTTCTAGGAATAGCAACTCAAACCCTTTTGAGTGGCCGGGTTAGTCACGAGTTCAATTTCAATTTAATATATTACTTTCGTCTTTCTGACCTTCTATTAAAAGAAAAGGTTGGAAAGATAAAATAAAAAATGCATACACTCGAAAACAACACCGGAAATCAGATAGAAATCAATCATTCCTTGCCCATTGTGAAAAGAAAAGTGAACTTTGGCCTCTTTCGGGGTTGGGTATTCAAGAGTTCCTTTCTGCCTTGCAGGTGATGATTCAGACTTTGACAAAGAAGCTGCATATATGGGTTGCTACCATCAGCAAATGAAACTTTCAGCTCAAAAGACTTTAGAAAAATGGATGATAGTATTGCTCTTTCCTCAACACTTTCCGACTAAACGATTAGGGATTTTCCAATTAAAAAAGTAAAAACGAAACTAAAAAACGTTACCTTTGAAAAATTGAAAGATGCAAAGAGACACAGATTGGATCCTTTTCAAAAAGAAATAGAAATTTTCGATTAAAGTACTTTTTTCTTCAGACGATTATTAAAATTCGTTTTATCAGAAATAATGAATTAGGCTTGCTACAATACGTATTTTGAGTTTCGAAACAATGAAATTCTTTTAGAGCCACCTCGTCTCTAAGAGGACAATTTTCCTTGAGACACAGGTTAGCCGCTGTAAACAGGTTTCACTGTATATGTTTGCATTTGTTTTCGCGGTAGAAATCCACACAGCTTGAAAGCGGAATTTGCCGAACATTCGTGCAAGTAATTATAATGTGCCGGAAAGACACCAACTTTTGAAATCATTGATTTTATGAAAAATATTACGTAATGTAGTAAATAAATCACAGACAGTTGTAAGTAAAATGAAATATGTAATTTCTATAATTCAGCGAGAAATGTTAAAATCTGAATTTTTCATGATGCCCGAATACTTTTTGTTCTTCAGAGTGCAAATTTTTAAAGCCGATTATTTTCTAGTATCGAATATATTAAATTTCAAATCTGATTAGATTTAAGCAGAATAAACTAATTTTAGCGTATAAACAATAATTAAATACATGAAAACACAGTGAAATACTCATGAACAGATATTCTACCCTATTTCATTCGTTAAATCTTACAAAATCATTAGAATACTGTAGTTGTTTGAAGACAAGGGAAGCATTGCTTGTGTTAAATGTTAACGTTCTAGTCTTACAGTTCTAATCTTTAAATGTATTTAAAATCCAAATCTTTAAGCTTACAAGAAAAATAAAATCGGATTCCCTAAGTATTCCTAATTCGCCATTTCGTATCTATATTGACTTGGCTTACTTTCAAATCTTTTTAAATCAGTTTCCGACATGTAATATTCTTCATCCTCTTTAATAACAGCTCTCGTTAATAAATCCATTTATTTTAAACCATTCGAATCAGAATGTTAATCTTTGTTTCGAGATCTTTAAATTTATCGTTGATCTATTGTTCAAACAAGCAGCGTTCTCATCGAACAAACTGTTGTACTCGTTTTGATCAGCTTCCGAACATAGCAAACAAAAAGTTCTAAATACAACGTATCGACTCAATGAAGTCGATTCAAATGATTTCACAATCACATGCTGAACGTAGCTGGGCTTCTTAACTAACCATTGTCTTACATTGTGCAGTGACATCCCACCATTTTTCCTCCTGAAGGAGGTTCCAGAATTAATCCAGTAGATTCCAGAATTAAAATAAATGAGCACCTTTGAAGTTTATTC